TCATTATCATCATCAAGAATTAGGTACATAGGTAATTTATTTAAAAATTAAATACCCCGCTGCTACACGTGCAACCAAATTAACCAAAAGTTTTGCATGCAACTCGCAAAAGTATGCTATAAAATTGAATAAAACTGATTTCTCCCAGTTGCAAAGCACACAAATCATTGCATTCAATTATTATTACAAATAGTATAAAGCAGTGAAAATAGTTTGGGTTTTTCACGGAAATTCATTGCTGCTGCTGCTAAAAGTATGCAACATCTTTTTTAATGGTTGGAATTTACAGCTTTTTAGCGGCTGTACATGAATTTTTTATTAACTTTGCCATACCGGCATTTGGCAAAAAAGTTTTAACATAGAACTGCTTGTTATCACTTCACTAAAGCAACTAAAAGTATAAAAAATGGAACAAAAAATTTTTCTAGAGATAGCATATAATTGTTAAACATTTTTCTTATTCGTGTCGAAATTACTAAAAAAAAATTACCATAAATAAACGGGAAAATCATGTTAAGAAATGTGTAGTGCTCTCATAAAATTTTTGGAATTAAATCTTAAAAGCGAAAGTTTCATGTTGTAGAATGCTGCAAAACGCAAACTTACATAATTGATAAGTAAATATTTACTGAACTTTAAAGCTGTGCTGATCTTTATAATGGTCGGATCTTTAAAGCCTAAAAGTATGCAGTAAAAAAAATTATATTTGCAATAGTTTGTTTAAATGTTGTAAGTTTTCGTGAACAATAGTCAAATATTTCAAAGTTATGAAATTTCACCTAAAAGTATGCAGTACAAATATTATATTTGCAATATTATTCCAAATTATATAAGTTTTCGCATAAATGACAGCTGCATTGCAAGTAAAGCTTATTGACACCTAAAAGTATGCCTTACAATATTTAAATTTTTCTTTTCCTTACTGAAATGAAGCTCTTCAATGCAAATTTAACCTACATTTTCCGATGTCAACCGAAAAAAAAACGCATTGCCTGGCTTCAAAAACTTCCGCTAACATTCTGCGCCAACTTTCAACATTGCCACCACGGAAATTATAACAAGCACGCCCATGGTGAAACATGCTTCAGAATTATTGTTGCTTTATTCATAATGTTTATCATTTCTGCCACAATTTTTTTCTCATCTCTTCTGCATTCGCTAATGGACAGCAAATTATCATTTTGCCCCAGTTGACGAGCGAAAGTAAATGTTGATATATACACTAACCTGCTACACATAGCAAGCGCCTTGAATTATACTTCCTTGCGCGTAACCTCAACGCCTTCTCACAGGCGCACACGCACACAACTTTGCTGAAAATCACTTGAAACCTCAGCGATGGCCAAGGTAACTACTACCGCCACCGCTGCCAAGTGAGACTAGCTGTTGGCTTGACTGCATTTCTGAAGCATAATGAGCAGACGCCCTTTTGTATGCTTCTTTTCATGCATAGATACACATGCGAGTGCGCGCGTATGTGTGTGTGTATGAGCGTGTGTATGTATAAGTAGGCTAAAATAACATTCGCACATATTGAAGCGAAATGGTGAACAAAAGCACGCAGAAGGGTCTTTTCTAAAGCGCGCCAGCCGTATAAACACCCTTCTTTAGCCTACTTCACGGCGCAGCGCATTTAAGTTGGATGCCTCAGTTCCGCTGTTGGCATTTTCGATTTACTTTTACTTTTATGTGCGTAAGTGGCGCGGGGCAAAACATACGTACTTATACCATTTATACAAATTATATTAAATCAAATATGTTGAATTGTGTACAGAGAGCGGCTTTGTTCTCATACAAATATGAAGCTGGGTGTGTGCGTGTGTTGGTGTGTACTGCCATTTGTTCTAATTTCTTAGCAGCAACCTGTTGTTTGCATTGAACGCTGTTTGAATTGGCTCATGAAGGGTGGATATTAAAAACGGTGGTGCGAGATAACTTTGTTGCTTAACGAGCGAGGCAGAAGAGCGCGAATACTTTAAACTTATTTTAAGCATATTTGTGGGTGCTTATAGTCTTTAAGGAAATTTCAAGTATAAAACGGAAAATGTTTAAGTTCTTAGAGCAGTATGAAATAAATAAGTATTCAAAGCAGTAGATCGCATTTTTCAGTTTTTGAAAAATATGTAGCATATTTCTAGGATGTTTAGGTAAAATTTTATACATATTTAAAGTTAAATTTTTACAAATCAAAACTTTATATCTTGAAAAAAATCTAAAAAAATATATCAAATTATTAAATAATGAATTTAATTTAAAAATTAACTTTAAAACTGTTTAACTAAATTTAAAAAAAATTAAAAATGATATAAAAACTAATAAAATTAATTTTTTATCTCTCCAATTAAATAGAATTAAATCGAAAAACTTGTAATTAAAATTAAAAAGCAAAACAATTAAAATAACTTGATGAAGGCGAAAATTTAATTGATATTTTAATTATCATAGCAATTTTATACTTAAGGAATAAATTTAAAAAAATCGAATTAAAAAACTAATCAAAAACAAAATTTAAT